GATTCCAGTCCCTCATTCAGCTCGCCGCATACTGCCCAATCTGGGACACGTCGCGATACTATCGCACAGAAGCGATAGCGGTTAGCTTCGGCTGACCTAAACTCAATCATATAATTCAAACGGGACCAGTACGGTTCTTCCTGCAGTGTGTATGAGCGATTTCCGGAATGGTTTTCCTTTTGGTAAAGGCATGTGGTAGTTATAGTAATAACTTCCCTTAACTAGCTCATTTCTGCTATTATGTTGGAAGTGGTCGCCGTTTGTGGGAAGAAGACAGCCACAGAGTCAGTTCCCGTCGTCCATATTGTTTTTCACTAGCTTCCATCAGGATTGAAAAGGTATGACTAGGAAATACCGAGCCTCTCGCAAGTTGGTACTACACGAGGGTCCCTCGTTTGGCCCTTTTCTAAACCCATGATTTGCCACATCCAAGGAAAAGGCAGATGGGACAGGCATACGGTAATGTGGAAGTAAAAAATTGTGAAAACGCCTGCTTTCAGACCGATGATGGTAGTACATGTGGAGCGACTTCTCCAACTGTTCTGAAGGCTATTTCTGTTTGAATTCATGGTGGAGATTGGCTCAAACAAGTGTTTGGCTATGACAGCGCCGCCGAGGCAAAAACTCTTTCGTGCCCCTTTTCAATCTATTGTAGCCTATTTTGCAGTTTATTTAGTTCCTATCCCAAAATTAAGGTGATTATTACTTGACCGACGAACCTTACTCGATCAGCTGCCTTCCAAGTGATGAGCACCTGATTGGTCTCTGAACTGTCGCCTTTTGATATAGCATAAGCCAAGCGAGTATCATGTGGTAGAGGTGGATAGAAGGCGTCCATTTCTTCCTGGGAGTGCGAAAGGAACAAACGAGCTGACGATGGCTTAGACGACGTCAGCGCCAGCATAAGTGGACCTGAATGGGAAAGAAGATAAGGCAGCTCTATAGCTGGCTTACAACGTACACTATCCTTCCATATGTTTAATTCACTTCGAGGCTGCCTCTCATGAAACAACTCTTCCGACGGAACCTCTGAGTGCCACATTCATCGAATTCTCATTTTTCCAGAAAACTACCTTCTCCAGGTGTAGAATAGGATTTCACCTAGTGCGATTTCTTTTGCTCACGATCCTTCACAATGTGTGGTCATCGCAGGAAAGATTATACCTTCCCAAAAACCTACCAGGAAGTAGGATTGTTTTCTGCTGCGCTGCCTGTGACTTGCATGGAGGGGGGGGGGGACGTCATGAAGACGTCATACGGAAAAGCAAGACATGCCAAAACTTAATATTCTCAGTTTATGACGTCAAGACTGGTGCAGATGTTCACGCCCAATCAGATTAGTTTGGGTGGTTTTGAGCACCAAAAATATTCGCCCTTTTGCGCCATAAGCAAAATTTTGTTAGTACATATCTATTTTTGGTTATTTGAAGAAGGAGCTTCTGAATAATCCAAAACCGACAAGGAAGGATAGAGAGGCCGATGCTTACCAGGCAGATCAGTCCCTTTGTTGTTTGCTCACTTACGGGTGAAGATGAAAGGATATCAGATCAAATTGAGAGAGGAGAAGAGCCGGACTGGTCTCAGGAGGCCACTACATGGGCTTCATGAGTATCTTGGGGTTTGGGCGACTTCGATTCGAAGTAACAAGCACACCCCAACCTAAAGAAACCGACCAAGGCCACGAACTTCAAGTTTTCTATCCTTTAGGATCAGTACTTACTGAAGTGAGTCATCGCTCATGAACTGGCCACCTGATCACAGGATTGCAGCCACTTGGTGTCAGCTGCTACCAAGAATGCGAAGAATGTGTTCCCATATGAGTGTTTCAGCTGTCAGAGCTCTACCCGAGGCTCATATGACCCCTGCAAATAGCATTTGCCCCACACCAGCCCTCAAAAACTTCCTGCTTTGCCGGATGATGATATGATATTCGTAAGGCGATGAAACGATTAGAATGTGGTCGTTTGGGTCTGGGAGCTGCATGCTTATCTCCGGGAAAAGCTATAATGTGCAACGGATATTGCCTGCTGTAAATCTCCGGAACGCGGAAGTGAAAATGCAGAGAAAAATCGGATCTGATAACTCAAAGAACTGAGTTTGAAAGAAGCGAGGGAGGAAAGAGGAGGAAAGTAGAGCATCCCTAATAACGATAGAGCTATTTTACTGCTAGATTAGTACTTCTAACTTTTCTGAGGAACTTGTTAAAGGTTTTCAGGGCATTAGGTGTAGAATGTACTTTTTCCCAGGCTCTAAGGCTCCTTTTCAGAGCACATCAACAGCACACAGCAGTAAGTTCATCCGATTGCTTTTAAACCTTCTCTCCTTTATCTGTAACTTCAAACGAAATCCAACCTCTTGAGACGTTTTGCTTAAAGAACGTCATTCGACGATCATCCTCTTGACCGGCGATAAGCTCAAATCGTGAAGAATCCAGCGATTCCGTAGGAGACAGCTCATTTTCACCTGAAATAGCGGATTTGGTCTTGAGATAATCTGCAATGCTGGAAAAAGCCTACTCCCACTCTATATTACGCATCCTCATCCTGGCATGCTACTACCAATGGGTTAGTGTAGGGCTCAACATGGGAGCAGTGCAATATTTTTAGTATTTCACAGAAACGAAAGTAATATTTAGAAATGTGGTTCAGAGCAAAAACCATAGAATGAAAACACATTGAAAAAAATCAGTTGCTAAGTTTCCTGTAATAGGAACTCTCTAGATTAGTTCACTGTATCGCTATTGCCATTCTGTATATCCCCTAGTACGAAGCGTTGGGTAGGACCAGCACAGCAGAAATAGGTAGTCCATTCCTTGTATCCACCTGCTCTCTGAGCAAGTACCGGCGATTTTTGATCGGCGATTCACTCCCCTACATGCCACCTGAGGACGCTGTGCAAAGCCTCGTCGCTAACTGGCTATAAACCTTCAGTGAGAAAGGACCTTAAGTGTGGCAATCCAATACACGCTATGAGGTCATAGTGGTAAGGGTGGGTGTGCTATTTGCCAAATGGGCTAGCAAATTCCTGTCGAGAGCTCGCATTCTGAAAATTCATGATAGCGAGCCTTCTATGTCCCTCACTTTGCTTAGTTGACACCAGACCTTTATGGAAGGATGAAGGTGCTGATTTTCAGGCTGGTTTGGATGTGGAACGGTGTCTTTGAGTAGGACCTCATTATCGGCGTTTTCACTCCAGTCATTTCAGATATGCAGCTGAGTACTTCTACCTCTTCTACCTCCTTTTTGAAGCTCCCAAGAAATGAATGTTAAATCCCGGCTTCGCTCTTCATTAGTGATGTGTATGAACACACATCCGCGGACGTGCGTGCCATTTACTGTTCGCCATCAACCCTGCTGCACCCTCCTTTTCATTCGTCATTAACTGAATTCTTCATGTGATGCTGCTA